TATATNTAGTGTGTGTGTGTGTGTGTGTGTGTGTGTGTGTGTGTGTGGTATATATATATATATATATATATATATATATATATATATGCACATAAGTTAGAAGGACGTAGCTATACATATGCATATTTATATCGATACATACACATCTATCTATATGTATTAAAATACTGAACCATTCATAATTGTGTATTGAAGTGTACCTCATACCCAAATATAACTTACATGACCATGGTCCTCATTCGTTGCTTGAACATCGACTGATATCTGCCATGTTTTGGTATCCTTATCGAAACAAGCACTGATCTCGTTGCTCCAACCTTTGTATCGAGTGCATCCCTGAAAAAAGTAAACGAGTGCACTACTTTTACTGACTATGTTATTCAACCAATGATAACGTATTTACGTATTCGCTAGCAACAGATGTGATCGAGATACCACCTGAACGTTTGGGTGCATGTAAAGGTAACGTTTTCACGCATTCGTTAAAACCAGCCGTGTGTGCGCTGGATTCTACTACAATCTATTGCCCAATGCATGCGAAGACTTTCCCACCCAGGACACTCTTCCATAGACGTACTCCAGCTATGTTAGTGTACGTAACATTATACGTTCCTTGAATACCAAGAAGCGGCTACTGATTTTTCAGGGCTTAGGGTTAGCTAAACCTTCAACCCTAAACCCCCACAATCAACCTCATTCTGGAGAAGTATTGCCTTCAAAGGCAAATTTAAAAGTGAGGCCCTACGCTCCGGTGTTGTACGTAGAAATACACAGATACAAACGCAGACACCGAGACATATTACACTCGACCCTTAGAACATACCTGAACAGAGCTTGGCGCCATATCCACTCCGAGACCCAGAGGAACCATCGAAGAGTAATCGTACTTGACCTTAGTCTCCAGATCCACGACATAGGCAAACGCCACTGCGGCATAGTTAACCTGGTATAATACACCAGAACAAATACGTGAATACGAAGACTGGTACATTTGCCATCAAAAACATCTGAATCAATACAATCACTCTAAAGCGAAGCTGCTACCTACATGTCATAGATGTGTCACGCGTGGATACGAAGCCATGGCACAAAGACATCTGAATCAATACACCCACTCTAAAGCGCAGCTGCTACCTAAGAATACGAATACGAATACGAATACGAATACGAATACGAATACGAATACGAATACGAATACGAATACGAATACGAATACGAATACGAATACGAATACGAATACGAATACGAATACGAATACATAGCACGCAATGATACATAGCAAACAAGATTTGAATAAGCCACACATATTGATGCCCTATGGATTGGCATTCTAAAGCGTACATACGCATTCGTTTTGCCGTTTTCAGATACTGATTCTAATCACAAACCATCGGTTCAACGATCCAGGACACTGATGCTACAACCGCAGCCACTCTCATTGTGACTATATAAACACATGCACTAGTACACACCTATACATCACCCCATGATACCTATACGATGTCCTTGATCTGGCCTATATATATATATATATATATATATATATACTCATGAGTTCTACACGCGCGCGCACACACATTATTATACATACCTGTACGACGGCAAAAGCAAATAAGTGTCTGTCCGTGGCCACCGAATAGTAGGCCCAACGCTTGAGCGTAAAGTACGGATAGGCCACATCAGTAACTGGGTACTCCACACTCTCAAAGGGCTTGGTGTACCGACCGTAGGCATATCTGTTGGAGATGATGCATTAACATGTGTATATATTTAACATGTGTATATATTCCAGGTGTGTATATATTTAACATGTGTATATATTCAACATGTGTGTATATTTAACGTGTGTATATATCCAACATGGAGTTGTCAAATTCGCTCGTGAACCTGACAGACACGCAATGGTTTGCCAGCAATGCAACCGTGCGGCTATCCTCCGAAGTGTTGTCGAGAAAAATATGTGTTCTCATTGACATCCACAAATAAATTTGCTCTGGAAAATTTATAGTCACCATAATTTATGGGTAAAATAAAACGATGCGCCATCTAATGAGAGATGCGTACGATCTGTTTGAATCGAATACACTAACGTTTGCGTTAAATAGATCCGTGCTGACATACCAGCGTGTCGCTGTATGAAAATTGCGACATTTGATAGAACATATATCATAAAGACG